TGGGAGTTGAAGTCCACTCATCTTAAAGTGGCCAAGTTTGGACAACACTGGCTTAAACCATCTCTAGCTGTTTTTTTGGCACACTGTTAAGGTCTGCACTGTAGGACTTGGCATGTGGGTGGACCTCTGGAAGGAAAGTAGTCCTACTTTTCAGGAAGAAAATCTACTTAAACTTTGATCCTTCCAGCAGTCTTACTGCATAACATGTATTTATTAAATACACTGCTATACCACAATTCAATCATTTTTGTTTTCCAAGATGGCAGTTGAATGGATTCTCATTATCTGTATGTGAAGAGATGGAAAGTTTGGCAAAGTTAGAGAAGAGAGGTAAGTTAGACTGTTGTTGGATAGCTATTTTAATTTTTGTTTGTAAACCACCATGAGTCTGAATTATGTCAGCAACATTTAAATCCAATGAACTAACAGGTAAATATTAGCAGAGAACAAGAGCAATCTCCGTTCAATTTTTAGTCATGAGGTAGCAGTATGTAATCATCATAATTAGTCAAGATCCTACAGAACAAATATTTGTCCGATCACCAAGATCATGCAACTAATGTGACTCCATAAAAGTAAAATATTGGCTGATAAAAATTATTTATGAATTATTGCAATATAAGACATGAATTGAAATAATTTGAACCTCTGATCATATACAATGTTGGTAAAATTATATTATCATCCCTGTATTATAATGAAATAGTGGCTAGAAAATAAATTATGTCTGTGCACAAAGCAAGGAATGAAAGAAGAAAAAGAGCTTTAGCTACTAGATCCAGCCCATGTGTTCCAAGGAAATGATCAAAACATCTGGGCTGCTGGATTGGCCTTTTCAATAGAGTCATCCTCTCATTGTCACTACTTCCCAAAACTGGGCGGGCAGGCAAGGGAGTCAGAAACAACAGCTGGCAATAAATGGTCACTCCAGACACAGTGCATTGAAAAATAACAGCATAACAATGCAAGACTGCTCTCAAACCTTCCACCAACAGGGTGCTCTTACCTGTCATAAATGGGGCCTTTGAAGGTAGGGTCATATTTATGCGGTGTCCCTAAAAAAAATGAGATCATTAAGTTAGACAATTATAGAAGTCAGGAATATGTAAACTGGGTGCTTTATTTCCACTATTCCAGTAAGATAAAGATCACTGGGCAAATTCTTTGTCAAAGTCCAAAAGCGACATGACAGTTCCCAGCTTAATTTGTGGGAATTCCTAGTCAGGAAAGCAGGAATGCAGAAAGTGTAAACTAGCAGGTGGGATAGGATGAGGGAGTGTGAAAAAGGATGGTGGTAGTGGGATGCTGTAAAAGGAAATGCAGGATTTGAAGTATCACTGTGTATACGTTTGTACCATCTTTCTATTTGCTCATAGGGTGTGATCTGCTTGTTATGACTGCCACAGATTCCACTATAATAAAGATGTTCTAGTTCCTAACATGTTAATCCAGATCTCTGGGGAGTTTCTGCTAAGTTTGTGCTAGTTTTGGGGGGTGGGGGGCAATCTTGGTGAATTGTGACTTTTTTCTTCTCCTGAGATATACCGTCAGGGATTTGGGTGAAGGGCAAAGTTATGGGGCATTATTACAAGTTTGCAATAGAAGGAACCTCTTGCTTTAAATGCCTGAGTTTTTGAGAAGCATCATCTGCATACTTTGAGCATGGGATTATTACTTTCCCCCATTCCACGACTGACAGATAATTAAGTGAGGAACCTACATTTGTAGAATTACTACCATTGTATTAACTTTAAAGGCACAAAGATGTAGCCAGAATTCTGATCAATTCTAGACTCCAGCAGTATTTTGACAGAAACACCTGAAAATGGAGAAGAAGACGTCTGAGTTCCTGCACCTGTGATAATTCTGTACATTTCAGTAGAAGCCATTCCTGGAATCATAGCACTAAAGATGAGATTTACTGCTGTTGCCAAAATGTCTACTTCTATGCCATCATTAATGTCCGTTACAAACTTTTCCTTCTGTCATGCTGCTTCCTTTGCCTCCGCAAAAAACACTTTGCCACTCTTCACCAACTTGATGCCTCTCAAAAGTGCTGAAATACAAACTGCAATCAACCTTAGACATTGCAACCAACAGCAGACCTGCCCTCTTTCCTTCCTCATCTTCAAATCCATTTTGTCTGTGGATTTCATTTATCCCTCCTCTAGCTCATCTTTGTGCAAAGGATAGTCTGTACAAAATAATCCCACAAAGCTTTTGACTCTGCTCCTCCATTCTCGGCCCCAGCCGTATCATACCCAACCATGTGCAGCTGCATTTAATCACAAAGCCACTTCTTGTTTCAGCTCTCTCTCCTCCTTTGGTCATTCACATTATCAACCCAGCCCTCAAACAACCTGCAGTTTACAGCATGCGTTCTGCCCTAACCCAGAAAAGGGTGTGTAGTCTTAACTGGCTGGATGAAGAATATTAAAGTGAAACTGCAGAGGTAGAATTCCAGAGAAATGATAGAGCTGCCTGTTCCGAATGGGAGTAAGCAGTTTGAGGGTGCTTCTGGATCTGACTCGCCCCCTGGTTCCCCAGGTAAGGCAACGGACAGGAGTGCCTTCTATTAGCTTCAACTGACATGCACCCCTTTCCAGGCAGTAAGGACCTTAAAACTGGTCCGTCCACATGCTGCAATTTCCACACATGGCTCTAGTGCTCTGTGGGGAGGTGCCTTTGTGTCTCATCTGGAAACTTCAGTGGGTACAAATTCAGCAGCAATGCAAAAATCTCATATTTCGTTTCAACAAGATGGGTGGTGACAAATTTGATATATATAAATAAATATTTCTTCTGTGCTTAAGGCACCATACCAACCAGCAATTCATCCCTGGGCGTAATGCACAGTGTTGGTCATTACCTTTAAAACCTTACATGGCTTAGGCACAGGCCCTTTCCTTTTTCCATATGAACCTCCACACTTACGAAGAACTCCAGGTTTGCTCACAGTTGTTGCAAGCTCATTTGGCAGTGACTCAGGACGCAGCTTTCTCTACTGCCCACCCCACCCTTTTGGAATGCACTCCCTTCATTTCTACCAGCTTTGTAAACAGCCCTTAAAACATCTATCTTTTGCTCAGACTCTTAACTGTTGATTTTAATAGTTAATTTTAATAATTAGTTCTACTTGTTTCAAATGCTATTTAACTATTTTTAACATCCAGTTTTAAATTTGTTTTTTATTGTTAATTGCCAAGCGACCTTGGTAATAAGCCATTTGGTCTAGTGGTTAAGGCACCAGGCTTAGAAACCAGGAGACGGTGGGTTCTAGTCCCGCCTCAGGCAGGAAAGCCAGCTGGTTGGCTTTGGGCCAGTCACTCTCCCTCAGCCCAACTCACCTCACAGGCTTGTTGTTGTGGGGGAAATAGGAAGAAAAAGGAGTATTATGTATGTTCATCATCTTGAGTTATTTATAAAAATAATAAAGGCAGGATAAAAAATAAAAAATTACCAGGCTAAATAAAGAAAACTGAATTGTTCTATCTACTCATCCAATCTTTGTTTCATCACAAAAATATGAAGTTTCCAAGTTTTTTTGTGTTTTCTTCTGCAGAGCTTAGAGCTGTTGATTTATTCCCCCTTGCATAATTAATACTTGGGGGAGAAGAAAAGCACCAGCCTTTCTTAACTGACAAGACTTGTTCACTTGTAGCTGGTAGGCAGACTAACCTTACACACAATTATTCTCCTCACCAAAGAAGATCTACTGCCTTCTCCCCCTCCCTGATTTTCAAGCTAGAAAAAAGACAACCCTGGGACTACAGTAGTTGCAGGACAAGTTCCTGCAAGATTCCTGGCTGTTAATAGAAACTTTTAGAGGAGAAACATGCATACCGAGAGATCCCCAGACATATAATCAGGGAAGTGTACAGTAAGTGCATCTGAACCTGCTCTTAGCCTAGAGTTTGTTCTGAACCTCTGTTTTTAACCTCGTTATTTAAATGTATACTTTGCCCAACTTGGGAGCAAATAACAAAGGAAGTAATAAAAACATTGCCTCTGAATAAAGGATGCCTTTCCCTTGTGTGTAAACCAATATATGCCATCACATATCTGGGATGAAAGGCAACAGTCCTACCAAGGCAGGGAGGAGCAACGTGTGGTTCCACAGATAATGTTAATTTCTCATAGTTTTTAAGCAGGATGGCCTGCACTAGCATGTTGCTCTTCTGATACAAAATCAAAGTATCTCTCTTCGTAGAAATTAAAACAATACTCTCCTCCCAAATTCTACAATTACCAATTAATCCACTCTTCCCACATACTATGTAAACATTCTTTATTAATTGGGCCTCAGCCACTGAAGCAAAATAGTTTTCTTTCCCTCAAGCCCAGAACCCATGGGACAACTAAGAAATCATAAGCTTGTATGAACAGGATCTCCATAACAGCCCTGGAAATAAAGCCACTTGACCTTCTAGGAGAAACAAACAGGTGCTAAAATGGAATTCCTAGAATCATTTTACTTTGTCCTTTCACAGCCATATTTGCAACAGGTCCATAAAGAAATAGGTTTTCTCTGTCACCAGCACTAAAGCTCTCCATTGCAAAGTAAGGGCCCTGCTACTTAGCTACAAATAGAGATGGACTCTTGCCAGACTAATTTTATTCTCTCTGACAGCATCCTGTTTCACATCACTCAAAAGGGTTCATTTAAAACAAACTAAAGTTCATCCTTTTTTTCTTTTCTTTTTTTAATACAGCACCCAATTAGACTTACTACTATGTCCAGCGACAGTTGATTTTTGGTTTTAGTGGATTTAGTGAGATTGGATCTGGGTGAATGAATGATTGTAGTCTGGAGTAGCAGGCTGTTCTTATTTGGGGTATACAATACTATTTGGGAATAGTATGTGGATGTGACCGGGGAGGGAGGGGAAGGGAAGGGAAGGGAGGGGAGCAGTGCATCTAGAGGCCACGTAGGGAAGGAGAACCCTGTCTGATAGTGAAGGCAAAAAGTAAACGGTAGGTCATCAGGAAATGGTAGAAGCAGCATGAAGGGAGCAGAGATGGAGACCCCTGTCCCTCCCCCTCACCACAAACAGTGGAGACAAACTGGGGTGGAGGTAAGAACTGGGAGGCCACAGACAGTGCTGGAGGTTGTGTATGAAGAGATATTGCAGTGTCATCAAGAATAAGGTCACCCCAGATAAGAAATAAATTCTCATCTCCAAGATCCCCAATAGCAGGGAAACATGTGAGTCAAGATGGAACTCAGACTCCAACTCTTGTAATGAAAACTGTGGGATGAATTATGTACTTTACAGTTTCAACAGCTTAAAGCTTAAGAAACAGAAAAACTTCATCTTTCAGTCAAAAGATTAAAAACTGCAGTAATTCTAAAAACTCTTTCCTGTTGTAGAACTAGAGAGATAATAAAAGTTAAAATCAAGAAAATCACTGTTGCACTATTCCTTTGTCATTTGAGTAGAAAAACTTTGTGTATGCACTAACTTTAGTTTTTTAACTTAGCAATAGAATTATATAAAGGCAGATGCTAGATTGTAAATTAGCTCTCTAACCAACCCTTTAAGATAGAGGAGCATTCATCTGTCAAGGCTTGGTGATGTATGCATTTTAATATTTGTATGATCAACTGACTATGTTCTATTTCTATATACTTTCATACCCTATATTCTGAATATGATTTGCTGTATTTCCCTTTCATTTACTGATATTTCAAAACACAGAATGAGACAGACTATTCCTGAAGTGGAGATTTTACTTTGAGGAAATTGAGTTTCAGACAATTTTGGAAAAGACGTGAACTTCCTAGGAAAAGGTTCAGAATCAGGAATGGCGATGGCATGAGGAAGAGGCCCCAGTGGGGTCAGCACAGCAAGAGAGCTGAGTTGGGAGAAGAGGGACTGCCTGGCTTGGAAGTGCTGCCAGTTGGGCTGTGACTGCTGCAGCTTCGGGGGCTTCAGCGATGTGGTGACAGCTGTTGCAGCAACAGGTCTAATTCTCTGGATGAGTGGCCGGAAGCAGAACAGAGAAGTGCTACACTGTAAAGGGCCAGGGGCTTTGTGTTGGTGCTCTGAATGGTATAAATGGCTCTTTTGAGGAGGAGGGTATCTCCAGTTGGGAGTAGATAGTAATCTCATGGAATGAATATCTACACTAACACATATACAGCGGTACCTCGGGTCACGAACTTAATTCATTCCGCAACTCTGGTCGCGACCCAAATTGGTCACGACCCGAATCA